CATGCGGGGAGCAGTGAATTTAAGTGCAGAACGCTCAAGGTGGACGGAAAGTAAAAATCGCAGGCGCCAGCGTCGTCAGGTTCTACATGCCCGCGTGGGGATGGCCCTGCAAGAGAAGACCCACGAAGTTTGCGGCGCGGGCAGGCGGTGTGGGACCCTCGGCTAGAAGGCGAGCAGTTGTCACCAAGGCCGCCCTCTGCTCACCAGGGCTGAATTTCCCGCCCAGAGCCGGCGCCTGGGCTCCTGGTCCCAGCCCTGCACCGGCGCCGGGCTGGAGATAGCCCTTGGCTCTGGGCGGCGGAGTCCCCAGAAAGGGCGCCTTTGCGCCGCCGGGACTTGGCCGCTGGAGAGCGAGCGCGCCAAGAGCGCACAGGGTAGACTCTGCCCGGGCCGGGGCCCGGGTACCCACCCAGCCTGCTCCTCCAGGCCTCGGGTTCGAAGCCTCTCTAGCGGCTCAGGAGAGGCTAGGATTTGAGCGACAGCAGTTGCGTTAAGGAAGGAGTTTCTGAAACTCCCGGGAAAGCGAAGTCCCGGGGCTTGGTAAATAACCCAGCCTAGTGAGGTCTTTCCAATCTTAGTCTTCGCTCTCTGTCCTTTTTCCTACACCTCTTTCCCCTGCCCATCCCCTAGAAAAGAGTACTAAGGGTTAGGGTACTAACCACCCAATCCGTCCTCCCTTTCCCCCCTAAACCCCGAGTGGTTAGAGCGGGTGCATTCAGGCACCCCCATCCCAACACACACTCCACCGCCGCCACCACCACCCACTCTGCCCCTCCCACCTCCGGGGAGGGGAGGGACTGGGAACCTGATCTCCGGGCTCCAGCCTCGAACGTTTCCCCATCAATAACGTTGATACCATCGAGGTGCCTCCACCCCGCCCCCGGGGTTTCACGGCCGCCTTTTCGCCGCTTTTTGCTGGGCATGAGAAAACGAAACCTCCTCTAAGCCTCCCTAGCCTCGGCCGGGGCCCAGCGGGGCCTGGGGCTGGGGCTGAGGAAGCAGAGGCTCGGGGGCGCGGGCAGAGCGCGTGGGGGCGTCCTTCAGTTTGCGGGTGCCCAACCAGCGCCGGTGAAAAGAGGAGGACCCGGAGCCCAGGCCAGGCCTCATCCCAGGCTCCATCCCAGACCCCGGGGTCAGACTGGGCCAGAATAGATATTTTTGCTGGTGGAAGAACCAGGCCTCCGAAAGGGGAGAGTCAACAACATCCTCTCCCCTCTCCAGGATCCCGGAGGAAGTCAAGAGACTCGGAAACCCCTTCGCTGGGAACTCAGTTGTAGCCCGCGGTCTCGGGGCACAGTCCTTCAGCCCCGCCACGCTGACAAGGGCGCCGTGGGTCTTGGGAAACCTGAGGGGACGTCCCGACAGAACGCAGGCGATCAGGCCTCCCTGATGTGAGTTTGCACAACTCGTCGGGCACCTCCCCTGAGTGTGCGATCCTTGTCGGCCCACGAGGTCACGACCCTGCCTCACTTCGGGCCACCCTCATTTCCTAGTGAGGATCAGCCCTTAAGTGTTGGGCCCTCTGATGGCAACCGCAAGTCCAAACCCCGCCACCCCGACGGCCCCAGCAGCTGCCCCACCCAAGCTGGCACCCAGCGACCCCTATGGAACGCGCTAGTCTCTCGGGTCAGCTAGTCGCGGGCTTGGGCTCCAGCTGTGGCACCTCACTGGCACTGGTCACCGTCTTTCGACCCGCTCTAAAGTAAAACTCAGCCCCCACTCTGTCTGTTTTTATTAATTTAATTATTTCTTTGCCTCGCGGCACGCGAAGCCTCACCCGAGCCCAGCATTGCGGCGTCCACGTCGGCGAACCATGGAACTTGGGCCCGAGACAATGGCCCGTAATTGATGTATTGCCATCAACAATAAAGACCAATTCTTCTCTCCCCGCCATTCCTCCCATCCCCCCTCCTCCCATCCCCCCCCCCTCCTCCACCTCCCCTCTCCCCTCTCCGGGCCACAGAGAGAAAGAAAACAAACAAGAAATTAGCGGGGGATGCCGCGCACAGAGCCAGACGCCCGCCTCTACGCCGTCGAAGACGCGAAAGAACGAAAAAAGTTACTAAAGTTTGGATCACCCCAATTAGTTCCTCGCTGCTCGCCCATTTTAAATCAAACTTCGAGAAGTTGAGTTTGCGTGCGCATTCGTTTGGTTGTTTGTTTTGGGGCAGGGAAAGTACGCCCCCCCGGCCCCCCCTCCATCACACATAGAGCAAGTAACGAACACGTGTGAAGCTATTCCCGGGAGCTTCCCGCTGCGCACGCGGCTCGTCCCGGGCAGAAGGGTTTGCGGGATCGCCAGCTCCGCTGGGTTCCTGGCAGCACGCGGTGCCCCGAGGCCCGGACTCTCAAGACGCCAAGATTGTTAGAGGGGGTGCGGCGGCTCCAAACGAGGGCTCATTCTGAGAAACGAGTGTGCAAATACATAAGGACGCGTTGGTGTACCTGGGAATGTTCGGGCTGGTGTGTTCAGGAAGACCACCGTTTGCAGGCTGGGGTGGGTGCGGAATTTACACGTGCTCCTGTGCACTTTCCCGGGGGTCTGGGCTAAGTCAGCGGCTCGCATCCCAGGAGCACGTAGATCCATCTTGGCTGAGGGATCTCTTTAAATATTCAGTGAGAAATAATGGCATTTGAAGCACCACCTATGGAAACATTATTATCTTCATTCTTCAACATCAGCCCCAGTGATAGCTTCGTTTATCTTTTTATCAAAATCTACAGTAACCAACAGGACCTGGGGAGAAAGGGAGAGCGAGGAGGAGGAGGATGAAGTGTGTGTGTGTGTGTGTGTGTGTGTGTGTGTGTGTGTGAGAGTTAGGGACCGAGCGAGGACAAGAGAGGAAAAATAAGAAGGACAAGAGAAAAGGGTAAAGAAAGGGCGAACAAGGAGAAAGAGAGAAGTTATAGCAAGAAAAGGGGGGGGGGGTGTCGGCAGGAGGAATACAAATATTATTCACCTTACACAAAAGATTTATATTAAAAAGCAAATGAATAAAAAGACCAAAAAAGCTAAGATTCATTTGGGGGAGCGCGGTAAGGGTCCGGTGTACCCGAAACTCTACTCGGAAGATTGGTGCCCACTTCGCGCGAAGCGACTGTGGCGCTACCCAGACTCAAAGGCGCTCAAGAATTGGGGCGTCCTTACGAGCCCTCTCCTTTCCCGATCTCGAGATAGGGTAGGGATTGTGTATCTGCACCACCACCCCCCCTCCTCCCCATCACTCAACCGAAGTTTAGTTTGTCCTTCGGCGCAGGACTTCGGGAACCCTGGAGCGAGGAGACCCTGAGGCGCGAGGGGGAAGAACTGGGCTGAGCGGAGCACTGAGCGTCAGGTTCGCGAGCACCCGAGCCCCGCGGAGGGAGTGCGGGGCCCGGGCTTCCGACTCCAGGCCCTGGGGCGTGGGTAGGGAGGCTGTCTCCCCGCCTGGGGAGACGGAACTCGTTCGAAAAGTTTGGGTGCCACGCTCGGCAAGTGTCCGAGGAGCAGGCGAGCTTCCGCGGGGCCAGACAGTTGCGGACAGGGTCCCCTCCCCTCCACCTCACTCACTCCCGACTCAGCGCGGCCACCTCGTCGCTAGGAGCCTGGGGCGCGGCCCCCTCTCCCAGGGCGGGGAGCCCAGGGGTCCTGGGGACTGGTTTTGCCCAGGGCCCGCCGGGCTGGGCCGCGCCTCCTTCGGCATGGGGCGGGTAGCAGCGTGCAGGGTAAGCGGCGGCCCCTCCCCTCCCCCCGGCTGGAGCTGAACTCGGATCCCAGGCCGGTCCCTGATCTCCGCCCGCCCCGGGCTCCGCGGCGCCACCGCCGCCGCCGCCTCCCCGCGGAGTGACGCGCCCTGTAGCCAACCGGGGCAGCCGGGGGGGTAAGGTCGGGAGGGTTCCTGGGCGGAGCCGGGCCGCCCCTTATCCCACGGGCTCGGGGCTTCTTCTCCCGAAAACTTCAGCCCTAATTGTCCTGGGAATGTCCGAGGTAGAGAAAGGGATCGAGGGAGCAAGCGAGAGCCTGGAGGATCGGGGCCCTTTGAGGAGACTCTGGGTGCCGGGAGAGCTGCCCCTCCCCCCAAGCCCCAAGCCCATCACGTTCCCAAACCTTTCCTCGGTCCTCTTCTCCGCACCCCCGCGAGCCCGGGATCCAGGGGCTGGAGAACTCGGGGCGAAGGAGCGCCGAGCCAGGCGGCGAGCGGGCGGGAGGCCGGGCCGCGGGCGGGAGGCGGACCGGCGTGGGGCTGGCTCTTCCCCACTCGCTTATTTTTTTTTTATGGGGGTGGGGGTGGGCTGCTTTCTGGTAGCTCTTAAAGAAACGAAGAAACACTCACGAAACGGGACTTCCTCCCCCCACCCCCCAATCCCGCCACGGGACTCCCTCCCCCCGCGAGCCGGCGCGCCTAGCGCCGGAGTTGGGAAGTTCTCCGCGCGCCTGCAGCCCGGGTCCCCAGCCCCCGCCGCCCGGCCCCACCCCCAGCCCGGGAGGCTTCGTTCCGGGGAGGGCATGCTAATTTGGGTCGGCCCAGCCTGGGATGGGGGGGCTGGAGGGAGGGGGCGCGGGCCAGGGCGCCCAGGGCGCAGAGGCGAGGCGAGGAGGCCGGCCCCCGGTGGCCCGGCCGCGGAGTCCCCGGCGGTCGCGAAGAGGGTTAACCGAGTGTCGGGCGGCGCGGCGCGCAGAGCCAGCCCTGCGGCCGGCTTATTGGGCCAGCGCGCGGAGAGACAGGGGTCTGCAGCAAATCACGAACTAATTGATTAAGGCGAGCGGGTTTGAATAGCGCTGGCCCGGTGCCAATCGCCTTTCAAAGAGCCCTTCTATGATTAATCGCAATGCATTATTGATAATCATAATTATAGCAGGACACATGCGCGCTGCGCCCGGGGCCGGGGAGCCGGGGAGGGGGCGGGCGGGCCGGCGGGCGGGGGGAGCCGCCGCCGCCGCCGCGGCTCGATTTCCGTAATTTTGAGAAGATTTTTTTTTAGTAATTTTTTATTCTGCCCCAGCTGATGTTTGAGCCAGCATGTCGCGGAGGAAGCAAGCGAAGCCTCAACATTTCCAATCCGACCCCGAAGTGGCCTCGCTCCCCCGGCGAGATGGTGAGTGCTCCGGCCCGCGCCGTGGACACACACACGCGCACACACGCACTCACACTCACGCACACCAGGATCCACGCACACGCGGCGGGCCCCGCGCCCATCGCCCCGCCACCGCCACTGCCGCCGCGGCTCCCTTGCCTGGGCCACTCGGAGCTTCTCTTTTTTTCTTTTTAATTTTCAATTTGCCTTCACTGGGCTTCCCGCCGCCCCGGGGAGAGCAAACACTTCTCCGGCACGGTCTTTCCGGAGTGTTGGGTCCTCCTGGGGGAGGAGAGGGCACGCCGGCCTTGCTCCTCCGTCCCGGCTTTTCCGGGGCGCGGAACCCGGACCCGCGCAGTGGCGGCCGGGGTCCGGAGCTCCGGCGGGGCGCGGGGATGGGCAGAGGCCCTCCGTACCGTTCGTGCGGGGCTCTGTGCTTCCCGCGCGGCGCCCGGGGCCCCCGGCCAGGCCTCCGCCGCCCGGCCCTGCTGCCGGCGGGAAGAAAGTTGACTCCGTGCTCCGCGCTGAACTCCGAGCTGGGGAGCTTCCCGCGCCACCCCTCACACTCCACCTGGGCCTGCGCCACCTAATGGGGTTCCTTTGGGGGTTCAGAGCTGCAAGAAGATGGGGACCCGTGTCGGGGCGCCCGTGCCGGACTCGCTGGGGTCGCGGCCGGGTGAAGAGGGCTCTTTGCTGCCGGTCGCTCCCGAGATAGTGCAGGCGGACAGGGAGAGGGTTCGCCTGCACAAGTTTATTCTCGCGTCTTTTCTCCCAACACATCACTCCCGCCCCAAGAAATCTTTCGATTCGGTGTGTGCCCCCCAAGGATCGTAGTACCCCGTTCTTCCAGGAGACTCAGTGGTTGTTTTCCAGGGCGGGGGGGAGGGCTCTCTAGCCAGAGGACAGTCTCCCTGAAACTGAGGCATTTACCTTCTCCAATGGAGGCGACAGCTGCGGGGTCCCGGAGGGAATGAACAAGTCCAGGACAAAGTTTGAGTAAGGGAGCCACGGCCCAGAGTGAGAAAGATCGGGCAGGTAATTGGGGGTACGGACAGAAGACACCTCGAGTCGCTTCTTGTCCCTGAAGGTGTTTCACTTTAGGGGCCTCCGAGCTCCCAGGCCGCGCGCCGGAGGCTGTGGAGCGGCGCCCGGGCTCAGCTCCCGGCACGTTGTGGACTAGGGGCAGCCCTGGGCGGGCTCCGGGGCTCCGGGTGTCTCAGGATGCTCACGTCCTGGCGGCATTTTGTGGTATGCAGGAGGGAGCTTGACCCCGACAGGGCTCAGAAGCTGCCCTTAGATCGGCACCTCTGCCCACCAAACTCTGGGCCGCCCGGCCCCATGCTCCCGGGTCCTTCCCCAGAGGCCTGCTTCTTAGAGCTGGGGCGCAGGGACCCGCGCGCCGAGAAGCCAGGGGACTCCCGCTCCCTTCACCCCCGCAGGCAGTCGGGAGAGAGAACCCCTGGCGTGGGGACCCCTGAAGAAACTGGGAGCACCGAGACCGATCAAGAAAATTATTTATTATATTTGTCCCTTTACCCCAGTACTTTTTCAAGCGTCAAGTCTTACACAGTTTCTGGGGTTTCTCAGTCCCCCGAGAAGAGTCCCTGAACCCCTTTCCACCCCCGGTGAAGCCGACTCCCCGAGGTAAATCGAGGTGAAATGACCCCAGGCCGCTGCAGCAGCTGCGAACATTTTTTCGGGTTTTCTCAGCTGGTTTCTCTGTCTCAGCCCCGACACTCCTCTTGCGTGAAGTTTCTGGTGAGACCCTCCGCACCGGCACTGCTGCTCAAGTCAACGGCGTGTGCGGGGAACACCTAGCAAACCGGCGGACAAGAAAGAGCGTTTAGGCTTGTTTGTAAATTTGTGCAGGTTTTATACATTTTCCAAAAAAAAATGGCACTCTGGCCTCGCGGAGCAGGGATGCCGGCCTGACCGCCGCCTTTCTCCTGCGCCTTCGGAACCCTGCATTTTTAATAGTTAGGGCTCCCATGAAGCGATGGCGGAAAGGGCTTCACCGCCTCTTCCCATTATTATTTATTAGGACTTTTGTTTAGTTTATTTGAGCTTTGAGGTAAGCTAAGGAACTGAATCAAGTTTCCTTTCTTATTTCTCTTTCTTTTTCTTCCTTCCTTCCTTTCTCTTTCTTTTTTTTCCCCCTCTTCCCAAAAGCTGGTTCATTGTCCTGAGAAGCAGTAAACTGAGGGGCCCGGTAGGAAACATTCCCCCCCTCCCAGTCCCTTTCTCACCTCTCCCCACCCCCTCTTTTTCTTGGGTAGTAAATGGTTTTAGGTTATGACTGTTTTCACATGGTTGAACAATAAGTTTGGGAGAAGCTGCCCAGAGGGTAGATTTTGTAATAGGGTTACAGGATTTAGTATGTGGTAATAATATTAGTACACAACTAATCCTCCTCAAGGTCTGACTTACAGGAGGGCCTTACACACTCCAGCTCTTTTTATTTGGGAACAGTGGTGAGATAAATGGAACGGAGAGTTTGTGACATATTTGAAAGTTACCTGTAAAAAGTCCCCACCTTCCCTGCAGTGGATTTGGCCACCTCGGTTTTTATCCGCACACACAACATGCGCTCCAAGCAGTGGTGGTTTTTCTGGGTAGGGGTTCTAGTTTTTCACATACATACAAGGCTGTTACATTTTCAGAAGACAAACCCTTACTCAAATAACGTGGTTCCTTTTTCTTCTACCTTGAAATGGTCTTAAACTGTGGCAAATGAAATATGGAACATACCAAGCTCAAGCTACTCTGTGCTCTGGCCATACGCTGGTGCCTCAGACTGGATGACTTCTGCCCAGAGTGGAACCCAGAAAAGTTGGTGGAGCCCACTTACAGTAACAAGCAATTCCCCGGGCTGTGGGCAGCCAGGGCTGCTGCTGTGTGTGCCACGCGTGTGTGTGTTTGCGTGTGCGCGCGTACAAAGAAACCCCAAGCCATGCTGGACAGCCGCACCGATAACTTCATTGGAACAAGTTCAAGAAAACAAGATTATTTGGTCAGTCTTACAGTGTTCACATTTTAATTCTACTTTAGTGAGGCTGAAATACCAGAAACACCCTGAGATAAACCTGGGAATTTTTCTGTTTCTTATGAAACCAAGATTATGGCAAATATGACTTGCCTCTTAAGTGATATTCAACAAGTCTTAAATTACTTGTAGAAAGACAACCAACTGCATTGGAAAAAGTGTTTACCGAGATACATAGGTCTGAGGAAAGGGAATATTCGAATCTAAGGATTTTGTGTGTGGGTTCTCACTAGAAATTTAGATGTCGTGTGTGTTGGGTTATTCTTCCTTGGGTGGTGTTTTTAAGATTCCTGTTACTATGTGGATGGGCCATTCACTCGCCATTCATTTATTAAGAAAGAATTTTGGTGCTTAGTTTTGGGGGCGTTTTTTTGCATGTGTTTTCTTTTTCAAGGAAAAGATAACATTGGGAGAAAGATAAAACCATGATAAACTGCAGATAAAACATTGACTGTCATGTAAAGTATCATAAAAATTCCACTTATTTATATTCATAATGAAATTCTATTATTTACCAAAGTAATTTCCTCACCGTGAGCAGCTTAATGGTTACACATTGATTTCTGGGCCCAAAAGATTAGAAAGAACTATAATGAATTGGTGTGGGTTTTTTTTGGGGGGGGGGTTGTTTGTTTGTTTTTTGAAAAACCGACACCTGCGAGATAAGGCAGTTGCAAAGAATTTATATGTAATCAGGCCTTTTTTTAAGTTTGGGGCACAATGGGAGATTCTGGATGAGAAAATGCAAACAGTTTGGGGAGATTTGCTTCTGGGGGGCCTGCAGAGACTCCCTAAAATTTTAAAGACAACCACACCCGCAAAGGAGAGTGTGTGTGAAAGCAAATTTGTGATACTGAATGTTTGGGGCTTTATTTTATATCAAGTTCCTCTTATAGTTTATAGGCCAGTTTATAGGTCATTCTTGGGGGAACTTGACTTCATTTCTTTCTGTGTTTGCAGGTACACGGTTGTCTCTATCAACAGTCCTCTGAAGGGCAGAAACCTACGGTGGTGGGGAGGGTGTTTGTTTGTTTTGTTTCTTAATGTGGAAATCTTCCTGGGAACCTGGGGAAGAAATTGGTAGAAGTTTTTTGAAATTGGTAGAAGCCAAGCTCTCTGTGGTAACCAGAACCAAATTCTTCCTGCAGTGCTAATTTGTTTTTTCTAAGCCATGTCCTGATGTAGCTAGCCATGTTTTCTGAAATATTCTTAGATTACCCAAACTGGAGTGATTTGGTGGAGGAGATGGTAAATTATCCTAAACACCAGTACCCCTCCCCCACAAAAGAACAAAGTCTGTGGGCTTTTAGAAAACCTAGATGTGTCAGGCTGTTTTAACCTTTGCTAGCCCCCTCCCATGCAAAGGTGACGAGGTCCAGATCATAATATGTCCTTCAGTATCTTCCCAGTGACCCCCAAATTGAGCCTCGCTAGTCACTTAGCAGGAAGTTAGTCGTTTATTTTCGTTTCACCTTATCAGCTTGGCTTCTTTTCCTAACCTTATTCCCCATCACCCTCAGATGCCAGACCCCCAGAGGGGAAGATTGACAGGTAGTTCCCATAGCTCAGTTTTACCCTCAAACAACAGGGATTTAGTTTCTTGTGCCTTTGCCAATGTTTACGTAGTCCAAGTTTAGATCTCGCCTTAAGGAGTCTCTCTTTTACGCGTCACTGGGATAGCAAAGCCACAAAGAAGTTTTTGAACAAACCCTTGCATGTGGAACCCCATCTAGTGTTCAGTTTGCTTCATCCAAAGGGAAGACATTTTTCCCTTTTCATCCCTTGTGTATATTAGGTGGGCTTGAATTCCTGTTTTAAAAGTGGCGTCTTGTTGTTTCTTTTCCCCAAAGATTTCACTTGTATTTTCCACGCGAGAAGGCAGTGGTTCGGTCAGAACACGGAGGAAACTTGGAAAGTGTCAGGAAATTTGTCATTTGGTTGCATATCACATAGAGGAAACTGAAGAGGGACCAAAAATATACACAGCATATGTGGTCGTGTTTAAAATTTCTTGGGAATTGTAAGCTGGACACTCAGGTTCAGGCTTTTCCCGGGACTGTGCCAAAAATAAACAAAAAATAATAATAATAGAAAAAAAAAAGATCAATCAGTCAAAAATGTTTGTGAAGCCTTTCTCCATTGGCCCACGAAAAAGGAAGAGCCTGTTAAAATTACAGGCTCCAAAATCACAGTCACGAGAAGTTCTTTTCAAACTGTGAATGTGATCTTAGGGCGAGGGGAAGTGGAGGGGGGCTCTTTCTGAGGGGTCCAGAAAGGAAAACCAAATGTGGAGTGTTGTTTTGTTTTGGTTGGCTTTTTTTCCCCCCTGGCTGGCTAAACCTTTCTGTGTGGGGCACAGTTTTATTTTTGTTTTCTCAGTAGACAGATATTCTGGAACACTTCAATTTCTGCCTCCTATACTGCAATGTTTGGTTCAGATGCTGAAAAAACTGACTCATTTGAATTGGGCATCAAGTACCTAAATAGTATAACAAGAACTAAAACATTTGGGAGTTTAGTATAAATTGGATGAAGCTGTAATATCATCTCCCCCTCACACTCCTCCAAAAAACCCAGAAAATTCTAAATATCTTTTTGTGTGTCCATACTTTTAAAAAACCACTACTTCTTAAATCTTCTTATCTGACCAGGATTACAAAATTACATTAATTTGCATGCAAATTCCACAGAAAAGGAACTGGCATGTTATTTTCACCATAGCACAAGGAATAAGGCAACTGTATTTACTATAATGGGGTCACCAGTTGCAACCCTGTGTAACAGATTATTCAGAGAGATACAAGGTAGCAGACAGTCAGAAAAATGAATTAGAACATGTTAGTTTGTGTGTGTGTGTGTGTGTGTGTGTGTATTTTATTGCGGCTTAAAATATTCCCTTTAGTAGTTAAAGATTCAAACTAGTCCTCATGTTTTATCTTTTTTTTTAAAGCTGTTTCATTGGAATTCTGTTCAGAATGCAGATAGATTGAAAGTTAAGAACTATTACAATGTAGCGACACCTGCTTTTGAAATAAATCAAAATAGATACCAGGAATTTTTTTTTTCAGTGTTCACAAACATCAGAAAATTAAATTAGTTGACTCCACAGTGAGATCAGATGTCAGCTTATTAAAATGTTGTGAAAATCTAAGCTAAAGTATGGGCAGCTCCTGAACAGCCTCTTCCTTGGAGGAGCAAGCAGGCCTTTATTCTAAGCATCGATGTTTCCGTCCAGTTAGCACTATCCTAGATAGAAAAACGTTCAGATTGAAAACTTCACATTCTCGAGTGAGTCTCGAAGCCACACAAATGTAGAACTCGAGCACAGGAAAGTAAGTAATAATCAGCTAAATCCTGTAAAGTAACCTTTTTTTTATTTTCTCTCTATATTATGAGAATATCAGATGTTTGCAAGTTACAAAGAATTAAAATGCCCTTTAATCGTGAGCACAGATGTGCTAAATATTTGAAGCAACTACATTGTAATGTGTACAATTGATGAAGTCAGTTTTCTGATTTCCCTTGCTAGTTATTTAGTTCTGAATCTGTCATTATTTGTCTAAGCCCAGCTGACCAAGCAAAACTGTGTTTTAAAGTGGCTTTATGTTTTGATAAATGTGAGCTGGTTGAAAAGTATTTTCCACTGAATGCAGAGCTTAATAGAACATGCTGACATAATAGTTTTAATGCATTTTGTTGAAAATGTGTGAACAAACAGAATAGCTTTTGTTCCTTCATAATTGGCTGTAAAAGTAGATGGAAACATAACCATTACATATGGAAATGTGCAAAGAGAAAGAAATAACATTTCTGTTGAATATATTAGGAATTGCTTTTCCTCGTTTAAAATAAGCATCCGAAATGGATGCATCATTTAAAATTGGTTGTCAAAATACGAAGCTTTAAACAGAATTTTTGTCACATTATTTTTGTCCCAAGTGAAGCAACATAACTTTAGCAAATTTCGTTTAATATTTTGTTTATATTATTTTAAGGCAGGGAGAGAGACAGAAACTGCTTCAAACAGCACCTCGGATGTGCACAGGAATCCTGTGCCAATTAGAATGATTAGACATTAAATTAAAACAGAACTATTATTGGTATTCTCTGCTACCACTAAGATTTGTTTGGTATTGTTAATGCATTTTGCATCCTACCCTCATGGAGATTAAAAGATGGGTATTAGGAAAGCAAGCTTGTTAAGTACAACTTAGCTACTCAAATAACACTCGCAGTGAATAAAGTGTGCATACATTTGGTATACTTGACCAGGGCTTCTAATCAACTTCGCATCACTTAAGGCAAATAGACTTGAGGAATTTTCAGAAGTTAGTATTTAGGTATTAATTATATTTTCCGGAATGCCAAGCAATTCAAGCCTTTTTTATTTATTTATTTTTAATTTTTTTGATGCTCACTACAAAAAGGCAAACGGTTGGCTCTTTTGATTTGACTCTAAGTTTAGCAAAAAAGCAACATTTTGATTTTGCATTTATTCAGATTCACCATTAGGTCTGCCCCCCCTCACCCCCCTCCCCCCCCCCCCCCGCAAGTTTTCTGGGAGATTCAATTTGGAAGTCATGGAAACTAACTATTATCTGACTCAGTTCTGCAGAAAAGCATGCAGGGAGGTAATCCTTGAATTAAACAGTTTTTTTTTTTTTCACAGCCTTCGGAGATGACCACACACCATTCGTACAACAGAAGTTGGTGTTCCCCATGCTGGGAAACAATGGGACGCCAGCCTGTCTTTGAATAGGATGTGAGCTTGGAGTTGGAGATTTTTATGTTGAATTTACAAATGGATCTTAGTGAGAAGAAATCTGAGCAACCAGTGGAAACAAACATGAAATAAAGGGATTTTTTATAATGAAAGGTCCAGGACAATCTGTTAAACAATTGGTAACAGTTAAGAGCAAACTGTTTTTAAAGGCATTCAGACAAGGAGAAAGGCAAAGCATTTCCAAACTCTAAACCAAGAATGATTTCTTCACTTCCCCTTAACTGCACATCTTTCTTTAAGCTGATGTTTAATCAGAAATGTACATCTCATGCCAGCTTTATAGATAGAAAGAGCACTTTTGATGAAATATTTAGAGGCGTAATGTTGCCATTTAGAGCCTTGTGATATATATTCCTTGATTAGTGGAGTAGTAGCCAGGGTTGCATTCTTTAATTTTAAAAATAAACATGCCACAGGGTGATATATAGATGCCAGGCGGGCCTTGTAATGGGCTATGATTATTGTGCTTCTCTTTGTTGTGTGTGTGTGTGTGTGTGTGTGTGTGTGTTGCTTTTTCTTTTGTATTCAACTGAGTCTTGAGAATCCGTGTGGAGGATTTGTTAATGATGTCACTGAAGTGTGTTTGTCACAGATCTGACTTAGCTCGGGTTCTAGGTAGGGGCGGGAGGTGATTTCCAAGTTGTCAGTCTTCAGCTTGGTGATACGCATTTTCTTCCCCCCTTGTCAACAACTGATTGGAACCTGAATGACTGCAAATTAGTTTAGTGACAGAACAAACTGTCACAGATATCTTTGAATCGGTTGAAAATGAATAAGGTTGACAGAAACTCGGGGGCCTAATGAGTCCTCAGAATGGTTGCTGGACCCTCTCTGGATGAGGAGACAATAAGGTGAATAAAGTATTGGAAATCAATATTTAGCTATGGAATTTCATTATGCACCCATATCTTCAGTTCATAGTATTTTATGTTTTGATGGGTTATCTGAAGGCCATGGCTCTGAGATATCAGATGGATAGGAATTCCTCCAACATCCTTAAAATGTAATTATGAACATCCTTAGGTGATATTGACTGGTTTCCCGGGGCGACGGTTTTGAGTTTCACAGGTAGAAAGCAATGGATCAACCTCTGTCTTGCTTGTGAAGTCCGAGGTGACTGTGTCCTGGTGTCTGACCTAACGCCGCACCTTTTCATGTTCGCAGGAAACACAGAGAAGGGACAACCCAGTCGCACCACTAAGAGCAAGGATGCCCATGTCTGTGGCCGGTGCTGTGCCGAGTTCTTTGAGTTGTCAGATCTCCTGCTCCACAAGAAGAACTGTACTAAAAATCAATTAGTTTTAATCATCAATGAAAGCCCAGCCTCCCCACCCGAAACCTTCTCCCCCAGCCCCCCTCCGGAGAACCCCGATGAACAAATGAATGACACGGTTGACAAGACAGATCGAGGAGACTGCGGCGAGCTTCCCGAACACCACGGGCTTGACAGGGGCGAGTCCATGGAGGTGGAGGCCCCGGGGGCCACCAAGGGCAGCGGCGGCACCCTGAGTGGCAGCCAGGCCGCCGCCACCCCCAGCTGCACGGGCGGCCCCTCCACAGGTACCTCATCGCTCACAACCTCTCTACCTCAGCTCGGGGACCTGACGACACTGGGCAACTTCTCCGTGATCAACAGCAACGTGATCATCGAGAACCTGCAGAGCACCAAGGTGGCGGTGGCCCAGTTCTCCCAGGAGGCGCGGGGCGGCGGGGCGGCGGGGGGCAAGCTGGCCGTGCCCGCCCTCATGGAGCAGCTCCTGGCCCTGCAGCAGCAGCAGATCCACCAGCTGCAACTGATCGAGCAGATTCGTCACCAAATATTGCTGTTGGCCTCTCAGAGCGCAGACTTGCCAGCATCTTCTAGTCCTTCTCAAGGGACTTCACGAACATCTGCCAACCCCTTGTCCACACTGAGTTCCCATTTGTCTCAGCAGCTGGCAGCCGCCGCAGGATTAGCACAGAGCCTGGCCAGCCAGTCTGCCAGCATCGGCGGCGGGAAGCAGCTCCCCCCGGTCCAGCTACCTCAGGGCAGCGCTGGCAGCACCGCCGCCCCGCCCAGCAGCGGCTCCTCTCCCCACGGCAGCATCTTGGCCACCGCAGTCACCACCCCATCCTCGGAGAAGGCGGCCCCGAGCGCCGGCGCCTCCCACGCCAGCAGCCCGGGGGTCTCGGCATCGTCCTCACCAGCTTTCGCAATAAGCAGCTTACTGAGTCCTGCGTCTAACCCACTTCTACCTCAGCCGGCCCCTGCTAGCGCGGTGTTCCCCGGCCCTCTGCCTAACATCGGAACCACCGCGGAGGACTTAAACTCCTTGTCTGCCTTGGCCCAGCAAAGGAAAAGCAAGCCACCAAATGTCACTGCCTTCGAGGCGAAGAGCGCCTCGGACGAGGCGTTCTTCAAACACAAGTGCAGGTTCTGCGCGAAGGTCTTCGGGAGCGACAGTGCCTTGCAGATCCACCTGCGCTCCCACACCGGGGAGAGGCCCTTCAAGTGCAACATCTGCGGGAACAGGTTCTCCACCAAGGGCAACCTCAAAGTCCACTTCCAGCGCCACAAAGAGAAGTACCCTCACATCCAGATGAACCCCTACCCGGTGCCCGAGCATCTGGACAACATCCCCACCAGTACCGGCATCCCCTACGGCATGTCTATCCCCCCCGAAAAGCCAGTCACCAGCTGGCTGGACACCAAACCGGTCCTGCCCACTCTCACCACCTCGGTCGGCCTGCCGCTGCCCCCCACCCTCCCGAGCCTCACGCCCTTCATCAAGACCGAAGAGCCAGCCCCCATCCCCATCAGCCTTTCCACCGCCAGCCCCCCGGGCTCTGTCAAGAGTGACTCTGGGGCCCCCGAGCCCATCGCAAGAAACCCGGGTGGGCTCCCAGAGGATGCCGAGGGGTCCGCGGTGCCACCCACTGGTGGCAGAAGTGAAGAGAGCCTGGTGGCTGCCGGTCCCGCCCCGGCCGCGGGCAGCAGCGCCCTGAGCTCCCCGGCCACGGACTGTGGCCCGGCCAGTGCCACCGCCTTCACCAACCCTTTGCTGCCGCTCATGTCCGAGCAGTTCAAAGCGAAGTTTCCCTTCGGGGGCCTGTTGGACTCGGCTCAGGCGTCAGAGACGTCCAAGCTTCAGCAGCTGGTAGAGAACATTGACAAGAAGGCCGCCGACCCCAACGAGTGCATCATCTGCCACCGGGTCCTCAGCTGCCAGAGCGCCCTGAAGATGCACTACCGCACACACACGGGGGAGCGGCCCTTCAAGTGTAAGACCTGCGGCCGGGCCTTCACCACGAAGGGCAACCTGAAGACCCACTACAGCGTGCACCGCGCCATGCCCCCACTGCGCGTGCAGCACTCCTGCCCCATCTGCCAGAAGAAGTTCACCAACGCCGTGGTCCTGCAGCAGCACATCCGCATGCACATGGGCGGCCAGATCCCCAACACGCCGCTGCCCGACGGCTACCCGGAGTCCATGGAGTCGGACACGGGCTCCTTCGACGAGAAGAATTTCGATGACCTAGACAACTTCTCCGACGAGAACATGGAAGACTGTCCTGAGGGCAGCATCCCCGACACGCCCAGGTCCGCGGACGCGTCCCAGGACAGCCTGTCCTCTTCGCCGCTGCCCCTAGAGGTGTCCAGCATCGCTGCTTTGGAGAATCAGATGAAGATGATCAGCGCTGGCCTGGCAGAGCAGCTGCAGGCCAGCCTGAAGTCGGTGGAGAACGGGTCCGTCGAGGGGGACGTCCTGACCAACGACTCGTCCTCGGTGGGCGGTGACATGGAGAGCCAGAGTGCTGGCAGCCCGGCCGTCTCAGAGTCCACCTCCTCCATGCAGGCTCTGTCCCCGTCCAACAGCACCCAGGAATTCCACAAGTCCCCCAGCGTGGAGGAGAAGCCACAGAGGGTGGTCCCGGGCGAGTTTGCCAACGGTCTGTCTCCCACCCCGGTGAACGGTGGGGCTTTGGATTTGACGTCCGGCCACACAGAGAAGATCATCAAAGAAGATTCTTTGGGGATCCTCTTCCCTTTCAGAGACCGGGGTAAATTTAAAAACACTGCTTGTGACATTTGTGGCAAAACATTTGCTTGTCAGAGTGCCTTGGACATTCACTACAGAAGTCATACCAAAGAGAGACCGTTTATTTGCACAGTCTGCAGCCGTGGCTTTTCCACAAAGGGCAACTTGAAGCAGCACATGTTGACACATCAGATGCGGGACCTCCCGTCCCAGCTCTTCGAGCCCAGTTCCAACCTCGGCCCCAATCAGAACTCGGCGGCGACTCCCGCCAACTCCTTGTCATCTCTCATCAAAACAGAGGTCAACGGCTTCGTGCATGTCACTCCTCAGGACAGTAAGGACACCTCCACCGGCCACATTCCTCCTGGGCCTCTGTCGGCGTCCGCCACGTCCCCGGTGCTGCTGCCGGCTCTGCCCAGGAGAACCCCCAAACAGCACTACTGCAACACCTGCGGCAAAACCTTCTCCTCCTCCAGTGCCCTGCAGATCCACGAGCGGACGCACACTGGAGAGAAGCCCTTTGCTTGCACCATCTGCGGACGAGCTTTCACGACAAAAGGCAATCTTAAGGTACCTGGCCCGTCTGTACCTCCCCAGCCACCCATCAGCCCTCTCTCTGGTGGCCCTTCAGTGTCTGTAATGCATGGTCCCAGAGTCAGCAGCCCAGAGACCCCGGGAGACCGTGCTCTCCGGGGAACCCCCTGCACTTGGCAGACTGGTGAATCCACGCCTGTGTGGGTTGTGCTCATGGCAGGGACTTGACCAGGCTGCAGCTGGCTGAAGGTCAGCGTGCATCGAGTGATTTGGTACCTAAGTGAAACAGCGGCCTGTGTCTGTTGCCTTGCTAAGTGCACCAAATGAATTGCTTCACCTTCCAGGGAAGACAGCCCGGCGTTGCCATGGGTATTGAATAAAGCCTCCATGTGGCCTGTGTGCTGCCCGGATCACTTAATAATTACAGCTCTCCCCGGCCTCTGCATCTCCTTCCATAACTATGCAGGCCAGCGTGGTTTGTTTTTCTAAAAACAAGAACGTCACTCCTCTGCTAATGGGTATTATGATAATTGATCAGACAACACTTCCTACTGATATGTGTTGGAAATAAAGCAAATATGCTTAAGTTCTAGAGCAACAGTTGAGCGCTCTTACTGTGTACATTTTTCTGTTGACAGAGCATTTCTCTAGAGATTGCTGCCAGTAATGCAGATGAATAATCGCTGGCTTTCTGTCCGTATGCGGGCCCTCGGACGGGCAGTCGGCAAGGGGCACTTTCTTCCTAGCCGAAAGGGGCGTTTACAGGGTACAGGGTGTCAGATGCAATCCTTACTATTGCAGTGAGAGCGGACACAGCGATTTAACCCTGAGAGGCGCTATCTGTGACCGTCAGGCTCACCTGAGGCCATTATACGCTAAATGGGGTAATAAAAACAGGAGTAAATAAGACAGCCGAGGCTGCAGGGAGCAAACAGGTTATGGCCAGTCTTCCGAGTGGACGGCCCGTTACTGTTTCCACTGTCTGGCACGTAATGAGAATAGACATTCAGGCCACTTGCGTTGCTGAGTGTTGTTGGGGTATGAGCTGAAACATTCAACTATTAAGCCTCTCCCTTCCTCTCTCCTCCCCGCCCCCCCAGGTACACATGGGGACCCACATGTGGAACAGCACCCCCGCGCGGCGGGGCCGGCGGCTCTCCGTAGACGGCCCCATGACATTTCTAGGAGGCAATCCCGTCAAGTTCCCAGAAATGTTCCAGAAGGATTTGGCGGCCAGGTCAGGAAGCGGGGATCCTTCCAGTTTCTGGAATCAGTACGCTGCGGCGCTCTCCAACGGGCTGGCCATGAAGGCCAACGAGATCTCTGTCATTCAGAACGGTGGCATCCCTCCCATCCCCGGGAGCCTGGGCAGCGGGAGCAGCTCCCCCGTCGGGGGGCTCACGGGCAATCTGGAGAAGCTCCCGAACTCGGAGCCGAGCGCGCCCCTGGCCGGGCTGGAGAAAATGGCCAGCAGCGAGAACACCACCAGCTTCCGTTTCACCCGCTTCGTGGAGGACAGCAAGGAGGTCGTCACCAGTTAAGGCAGCTCTGGCTGGAGACCCAGCATTCTGTTCAGCTGGAGGCTCACAGGTGTCTCCTCCCCCTCGCCTCGTCCCTCCTGCTTTCCCCGGATCGCTGAACTACCACATCCTGAAGACTTTCTTTTGTACTTGGTTCGACTTCTAGAGTTCTAAGAAAGCTTATTTATTAGTGATATAACCTTGCTTTGCAAACCGAATGCAAGCGTTAACTTTGGTCTTCTGTATTTGGGACTAAATACTAATTGACTAGAGTGCTGTAAACTTGCTGTAACATTTATGGCGATTGCAAGTTGCCCTGCTAGGCGGTCTTAATCTGGCATTAACTTATTTTCTATATCCAGTTTAATATGAATCTGGTGTTGATGCAATGCCTCCGTGATGCATTAGATCTCTAATAAAGTCTGTATATAAATGTACACTTCGATCCTGCTGGAACCTTTTCTCAGCAAACACAATGGCTAATCTTCCGAAACAGAATTAAGGAAAGGACTAAAAAGTATAGACTGAACAGTGTGGTTCTTTGAAAGGTTTGGGTTTTTTTGTTTTTTGTTTTCTTGGTTTTTTTTTTTTTTTTTTTGGTTTTTTTTGTTTGGTTCTGTTTTTGTTGTTTTTTTAATTTTTGTTCTAAAATTCAACCTGCTTTTTTGGTAGATTTAACCATTTCCGTTCTGAACTGCTATTTGTATTGTGCTTTTTACTTGAGTCGTCCTCCGTGTCCATAGGTTTCTGTACAGTAATAAGCACGCAGAATTCTTTAGAGAAAATACAAGTGTTGTTTTGGTAGTGGAAACTGAGACGTAACATTTTGCCTTGTAGGTATATTCACAATAGCAATGTGTGCTGGAATTTCACAATGCTGCTAAGTATAGCATCTTGAACAACCTTCGGTGGAGAAAATGTAGATGCTCTTGTATATACAGTAAGAAATCACTTTCATTAAAATGTACATATGTTCCTTACAAGAGCAAATGCTTCTTCTTGATCAAGAGAGCAGGTATAGTGTTGGTTTATTTTGTATTAGGTATGAAAGAAAAAAAATTGGACTGTTACATGCACTTTCTTGGAAAGTTGAAAGGAAAGGGGGGGGTCCAATTTCTTTAACATTTAATACTTACTAACAACAGAGATACTGTAATTTTACTCAAGTAATCAAATACATTTTTTTTTTGCAACAGATAAAACAAAATACTGTGTCTGTGTTTTTAGAGTGCATTTTCTATTTAGCCAGGCCCTGAAACGTATTTTAACCTTTCCCCAGACACCAGTAAATTGTATATGTGAGTGTGTATCTCACTCTGAGCGAGGAATTGTAAAAGGCAGAAACAGGTTTGCATGGGCCTGTGGCTTTTCTTTCTATTTTTTATTTCGAGGATCTTGATCTTTTCCCAATAACTATTACTTGTTTGGCCACTCTTCCCACAGGTCCCCACCCAAGGAAAAGGGGGGTGTGGTGGGGAATGCAGAGCTGTTCCTGGAGGTCTGGCCCGCCAGGTCAGGCTCCCTACAGGACGTTGTACCCATTCAGACCAGCTCCATTTCAGCTGTTCCGGATTCACTGCCCTGGACACAGTGGCTTTTTTTCAGGCCGCGGAGACGGCGTTGCTCCAGAATCCCGATGCAGCGGGTTATATAATCTGACTCGGAACGGCTGCAGCCCAGAGAGGTCAACAACATGTGCTTTATTTAATTAGTCTTTCAGGCATTGAAACATGCATTTTCGAAAGGAAAAGTCCATTACGAAGGATCTGTAGAGTCGACTTGAATATTTCAACATTCAAATTCCAGCTGACTCCTCTCCCCCTTCTGCTTTATGGGCACTTATTGGGGGTGAGCACACGGATCGGGTGGAAGTTGCTGTCCAGAAGGGTCCGCGAGCTTTTTCTTTCAGGAAGGTGGGGAGTCACTGGCAGCCCCTGGCCCTGCGCCCACTTAAGGGAGAAACATTGGGCCCCCTTCCAGTCGAAGTTTCCATGGGGGCAGGCCACAGGGGGCGAGGCCCGGCCTTCTGGAATTTGGGCGTCGACACTGGGCAGTACTGGGGCTGGAGCCCTTACACCAGGAGAGGGCAGGGACGGGGGTGTGCGCCAGGACGGGGCAGCACGCCAACATTTAAGGGGTGACTACTGCTCTCTACTCGGGCTCCAGCCTGGCCATATGCCCCTTGCCTCAAGTGTGGACAGCAGGAGAGGAGGCCGGAATTCTGGCCAGGAGCTCTTGTTCTAAGCTGGCCTACGGGGGGCATGTTCGTTTTGAAGTAAGCATTCAGCCCCTTCCCGTAGCCGGGCGCAACGTGGACTGGGTGCCCCGGCCTGCGTGGGGCCTGCTGGTGGTAGGGGGGCTGCAGGAACAAGCTGACACCGTGCACCCTGCTCCTCGGCTGCCTTTCCAGGGGCCCAGCCGGCCAACCCCGAGTGCACGGCCAGCAGCTGGACCCCGCCGCCCGGCCCCGCCCCTCCCGGGGCTGCCTCGCGGTCCCCACCTCCGGGGCTCCCGCAGGCTGGCGGGCGCTGGGTCGCGGCCCCGCACCACCCAGGGCTGCGGACCATTTCCGCGAGGCGGGCGGTCCCGCACAGGGGCCGGGCCGGCTTCTCTTCACTCTGACCACCAACCTCCTCCTTCTAGTGTTTTCTGAACGTGAGCTACGAGGAGCCGAAGCAGCTGGGCGCTCAGACGACTCTCAGAGGCACCGGAGCCCTTAGAAAAGGTCGGAGGGGCGTGAGGGTCTGTCTGTCCCGCCGCTCCTTCTCGCCCTCTGTCCCTGCGGAGCCAGGACCAGCGGACTTCTACTGATCCATCGATGGCACCTGCCAGTTCCCCTCCCCGTGCACATCCCAAGCGGCAAAGTCTCCGGGCCTTGCGGCCTCCCGCCCCGCCACGGGCCTTTCGCTCAGCCGCTCGAGGACGGGTTTATTCTCCTAAAGCAACAGGGGTTTTTTCAGGCAGCTGAGGCTCACGCACCACCCCCTTCCTCTTCCTCGTGCTCCCCCCAGGCCTCACCTCCCTTTCTCTTCTCCTGAAACTTCAGGTGCATCAAAGTAGTTTGGAAACCACCGAGAACCGAGTGTCCTGGGTTCTGGCCGCCTGGAATGATGATCGCTGAGTTCACAAAATTGTTGAACTAAAAATACTCATTTTAGTGACATTTCCCCCCAGTTCCTTTTTTTAAAAATATGAATTGTAAAAATACAGGGAAGGACAGCGAATCCTGTAACAAACCCCTTTGTGCCCATCACAAGACATTTGCAAACGTTAGCAGCTCCCCAGGGCCCTTCCTGGGTTTTTAGCGGCTTTTCTTTCTTGTTCTCCGCCCCGCTGTGGCGGTCCCCTTCTCTCCTGCTCGGTCTCTCTTCCTGTGTCTTTCCTCCCCTACATTCTCTGTGGCTTTTCTTTCAACCCCTCCATCTCCTCTGCGCCTTACCCCCTACACACACACACACACACACACACACACACACACACGAGGGCTTTCTTCTTTCTAGAAAATACACTTGGAAGAGGAGTTTGGTGAATGATGGGGACCTAGGGAGGGAAAAAAAAAAGGGAGAGACCAATGAAGCCCAAGACCCCCCAAGCCAGCGGCAGGGAGGGTGGGGGTAGAGCCGCCCGGGCAGGTTCCTGCAGACCCATTGGAGGTCCCTGAAGCTAACTGAGCTTTGAGATTTCACACCTCAATCTTCATGGGCTGGGTTTAGTCCCCTGACTTTGATGAGGGTGGAGGGGACAGTTTTGGGTTTTTGGTTTTTTTTAATTAGAAAAAAAAATAGTGTCCATACAGAAAATCCTAAATGATTTTCAGTTGACATCAATTTCTAGCAGTAGATTATTTGCTTATTGTTTTTGGCGTGTTGTGAATGTCAAGAACGAGAGAACTTTAAAAAAAAAAAAGAAAAAAGCTCCCACTCTGTTAAAACTTTGCAGTCCTGTTAGAAAAATAAAGCATTGGAGTCTTTACCAGGAGTTACATGCTCTACCCCAAATGAAACAAATGTCAGAGGGGTAACAAAGTGGGAAAAAATGTAAAGTGAATTTCAAAGGGCTCCACAGTAAAGCGCAATCTGAGATTCACAGAAAGTGGAGACGGATAAGACAGGAATTAGGTCATCTCCTCCAGACCCCAGGAAATCTGTTTAGATCAAAGCCTGCTCCATTAGGATAAACAAAACAGGGCCCATTGGGCTCTCCCAATATTTTCATCTCTGTGCTAAGAGCTACTAATCTAACCGGCTCTATTTGATGAAAGAGGGTAAAAATTACAACTGTAAAAATGACTAAGTGAAAAAATGTTCTCTCAACTAGACTAGGAAGATAAAGATTTAGATTTGAGCTAAAAAGTAACAAGATCCAGGCCCAGATCAACACAAACTTCCTGGAATTTTAGCACTAAGTAAATTATCTAATCCCAGCCTATTGTTCCTCCTCCTGCGCACCCCCCCACCCCCATGCAATTGAGCATACCAGATGATTTACATAAAAAAAATTGTTAAATTTTAACTGCCGTCTAAGAACATTGCAGGAGGTCGACTTTTGGGTTCACTTACTTTACATCCCTCAAGGAGCCACCCCCAGTCCTGCTGCCCCGCCCCCCAGGCCGTTGCTGGGGTAGTGTGCTGGCCACTATGGTTGTGGATGTTCCTAAGCCCAGTCTTGGGGTCTGGGCTCTTTCCACTAAGAACTGATAGGCAGAGGGGAGGCGGGAGTTGGTGTCGTATAAGCCTGGCTGTGGGTCACCACCATTCGGCAGCCGTGATATTTTAGCAGCTAAGCCAAAGGGCTGTTCAAGGCTTTCTTTCACCGAAGGGTTGAGGGCCTTACACCAACTGCCAGGGAACATTTGATAGATAGAAACATCCAGAGAAGGGACAGGAAATCCCAGAGAAGGAAAGTTCACCCCGGCGAAATCCAAGGGCGTCGTTTCTCGCCGCCTGGCTTCCTCCTAACTGTTTAAACATGCGAGTTGGCTCGGCGTGGGTCTCCGCGTCCATCTGAGCTCAGGTTTAACAAAGCCTCGGGGACCGCCTGTCCCTGCGGCTCTGGCCCTCTGCAAAGCCGGACGGCGGGGGTGGGGAATGCACGGCCGAGCCTTTGTAAACACCTCCAGGGACAGGCCATCTTCTGTGCGGGGCCCTGGGCTGCTCACCCCTCACAGGGCAGTCCCAGGACCAGCTCTTCACTTACATTCCTCCAGGGGCTTCGAGGACAGTGACACCGTGCGGGAGGCCACACAAGTCGACCCCTCCTGGTTAGCTCCAGGGTGGAACCCCGCCCAGCTCCCCCAGTGTGGCTGAATCCTAACTTGCCTGGTCCATGGGCCGATGTCCCCATGTGGACCACAAAAGGACCGATGTCCATCATTTGCTAGTAGCTTCCATCAGAGTCTTCCCATGTCCACGGTTCGGAGT